CATTCATGTTGTTTACTAAAACAAAAACTTGAAAAACGTAAAAAATAAAAAAAAACAATAGTTTAGTACTCACGATGGTTGAACTTCGTGAGTACGTATTTTAAGATGTTTTTCGATACACATCTCATATTTTATTATTTTTCGGCACTCATCTCAATTTTGAAAAACTTTGTTCTTACCGTGGGTCCCATGACCCATTTATACCCCCTGGTTTGTTATTATTTTTTCTTCCAACTTAATGCTTATATCAAACAATACAACTGTTGATATACAGAATATGACATTACTAGGGGCTAGGGGGTAGAAAGATATGTTCACATGTTGAGTGATTTTGAAAGAAAGTTATTGTTAATAATGTTTGTTGTATATAAAGCTTCCAAAAATATGTATAAGAGCAAAAATACAAGCATTTTTGGTGGTGCGTAATCAAGTTACACCTCTAAGATCCCACCTTATAATTTATGTTTATCACATCTGATTTCGAATAATTTATAGAGCTGACCTAGGCGATCTTTCCAAAATTGTAAAAATAAAACGTATTTATGAGGACATTGGTAATGAGATGTTTATTCTATTTAATGTACTTTTGGCCTCCAGCTAAGTAAGTAACAACCAACTATGCACTATGATAGGATAAGATGTACACTTGTTATATGTAATAATGTTATAAGTCACAGTATCATTAGGTTTTCTTTGATGAATAATTGTTTGTTTTTACTTTAATAATTTTATGGTAAATTTTCGCATAACTGTATTCTATAACTTAAAACTTTTTTTCATATGCTTGGGAAAAATTATAACAAATAAAAAAAATTTATTTTTCTAAGTATATTCCGTAATTTCTCTAATTGCGTACGAGTATTTATGTTCATTATAAAATTATAACATGAGGTACGTAAATAACAAAACGAAACATCTGTATCAAAGAATTAAGAATACATTCTGTCATTGGTAAAATACCTGAATTACGGGATTCTCGCCTGGACGATACACAACATTGTGAAGTGGTCGCTTTCTGCCTACGTAATTGACGCAGACAAATTCAAGTAGACTTGCATATATGAAGCACATACACACACCATCCCATACGTTCATGGCGGTGAGATTTGAGACGACTGGTAGTGTCGACCGGAAGCCATTGGATGTTGTGAAAAAATTGAGCATTGTCGTCACACCTAAAATGTTAAAAGTTTGTAACGTATACGTCATCAAATATTAGTGATTCGGATTGAAACAGAAAAAATTATAAAAAATAAAAAATAATAGGATATCAGAAATAAACTCATCAATGAATTAATGGAGGAAACACATCTCACCTATCATGACCCGTGCTGGAACTGCATTCCACTCTAACCAAAATGTGATGAACGAACTGGTAACAAGAATCACGCCAGGAATAAATACAGTCGTAAAATAGAAGGCTCTATCTCTTGTAAAAATGAGATCCACTTTAAGGCAGCTATAATTACCTAAATTCGAAGTATGATTTTGATTAACATTTTCTGAAAACTCGCTTGATTTGTTTTCTTTATTATTCATACTATATTCGGTAAACAATTGCAAGCAGCACGTTTGATATAAATACAGCTTGTATTTTAAGAGTAAAATTTTATTTATTTTACAAGTTGTACTAAACACATGCATTGATTGAAACAAATTATTTTTGTTAATTTTCAAGATAACTGTTAGAAAGTGTGGATGGTGTGTATTTTTGATTTCTCTATTGGTTTAGATGCTTAGATGACATAAATTAAGACGAAAATCTGTTGTTCATTGTAAAGATAAATTCTATTAGAAAAACTAATAACAGTGCATTATCTTTGAGATTCATTTGTATTCATATTCGTTACATAGCACTTTTTGGAACAAAGTTCTTTATGTCGCGTACTGGGTGGGCTGGAATTTTAAAAACGTTTCTCTTCCTCCTAAGTCTCCCCCCTTACCACATGACCCTCACCATCAGTTCCCTACACACTTCCCCTCACCCCACCATATATATCTTCCAACCGTGCCGCGCTATTCTCCTGCACACCTTAGCTCACCATTCCCCTTCACACTCCCAAGCAATTAATTTTTAAACGAATTTTAATTTTATTTTTCCACAATAATTTTTATTTGACTTTTAATTTTTTCTTTTACAATTTTTTCTTTTACAATTCTACACACATAAAAAAAAAAGGAAAAAAAAACTTTCCAATAAAGAGATTTGAACCCTCGACCTCTTGCATATAAGTCCAGTCAATCAATGGTTTATAAAGGCGCTTATT